TTTGAAGCTAAGAGTCTTCATCAGTGGTATCCATATTGGATTTTAGTCCCATAAGAGCAATGCTAAATTTGACAGAACGTACAATCATTTGAAGTAGCATGTCGGTGTTATTTATAAAGATATAGTTTAGAAAATGTATAATTAGGTTTATAACATAGAGTACTAGGGAACGAGGACATTATATTTAAAATATTTGTTTTTTTCTTGTCTTAATAAATTATTTAATTAAAGGCTAAATTAATTATCAATAACTTATTAAGCGGAGAAAAAAAATGAGAAAACAGGAATCCTCCCTCCCTAGAGGACATAATTTTAACACCTCAATAATTATCTTATCACAACAGGGTTTTTAGAAATTATGTTACAAAGTTAACATTGCTCTTATGGGGCTAAAATCCAATATGGCTACCACTGATGAAGACTCTCAATGAATATTTTAAAGGGGCTTCGTAAATATATATTTTAGCTGCTTCGTTTATTATTTTACATTCAGTGTAGATTACGTGTTATTTAAGAGGAAGGATTGAAGCGTTTGTTGCCATATAAGATCTTAATGAGTATCCAGAATGATAAATTAACATTACATAGATGTTGTTTGCTTGTGCAATTTTTCTTCAACTATGGCTAGAACTTAATTGCCCACGCGGCTAATTAACTTAATGCACAAAAAGCTTCAAAAAGAGCCACGGTGGATTTGATTTTCTTAAATCAAAACTCTCCATTGTGAGCACCCTTTAGTTATCTCACAATCTCCAGCCCGCTTATACTCAACAATAATTCCCTACCTGTTATACACCCTCCAATTAGGCCCTTACACTTGTCCTAATCTCTACATTCTCTGCCCTTCATTTGATTGGCGCCCTTTCTGCAGCCGCGCGATTACCCGCGTAGGGCGTATCTAATGACGTGATAACTACTATCAATGATCAGCTGATTAGCGTCGTCTGCTGACAGCCCTTAGTTGAGTCGATTAGGGTTGTTTGATCTAAGGGGATTTTATTGGAATTTACTTCCTAAACGGATAAGCCGGGTTATCGAGCTGGTGGACATTGGCAGAGAAGAACAATGAAAGGGAATCTGAACAACATAAAGGGTTCAAGATAAAGCATTGCTTTACTTTACTGAGATTTGAATTCACATGCTTTTAGATGCTAAATTATCGTGTTATAAGTTAAAATTTTTGTTATAAAATGTTAGGACATGCTTACGAAAATATCGATCACAGATTGGAGCTTAGGTGCACATAAATGCTACGTAAATCACAAAATAAGGAACGTATAATGTAAAATTATTAAAAACCTTTAAAGTGACTAGTTTTGGTTAGCTGAATAATGTTTGCATCCATTTATTTAACGTTGTTTAAATCCGCTGCCAAAAAAATTTCATAGAAGCTTTCTACAAATAATTACATAGTATTTTTTTCAGGTAACGCTCTTTAGTACATTACTCATAAGTCATAACACTAACAGAATACAATAGATTAAATCCTGTTACAAAAATACCCGTTAAAACTTCAAGGGAAATCAAACCGCGACAAAGTAACAGCTACAAAACCTGTTTCCCAAAAAGTAACCTATTACCTCCATAAAACAACAAGTAACCTTTGCATCAGTCAAGCCCACGCCCCACGGATCATAAATTTGGCCCGGCCACTCTTCATTGTTAAGCATTACATAATATATTTAACGGGGATTAAGTCGAATCTCTCCTTAACTCAGCCTAAGTAAAAATAATAGGCCCCAAAACAGAAGCGTCGGCCGGTAGCGCGGGGGATTAACTTAATGTATGGAGTGTTAAAATACACGCGACGTATAGCGTATCTACGCAGTGGCATCGCGGATGTGCAAAACATATGGTTCTGTTTTTGGGTTCAGATTGGTAAATAGGTACTTTGTGACGTAACATATTTGTAATAGTTGTAAGCGTTGTGAGTTTTACCCTCTCTGAATTTACAAGGAAAAGATTTGGTAACTTTTTCCTTCAGTTCACAACTTTTAGTGTTTCGATCATCTATAACTTTATGACCATTTGAGTTCAAGTAAAACAATCCAGCAACGGACTCTTCTATCAATCTTCTAATAAAAATACGTGTCTCAGACATTGAATGTAAATCCTTTAAAATGTGTAGAAAATATAATCATAGTGGACACAGTAATTACTAATTTAATAGCTTAATTTAAGCGAATTTAATAGCTTTACATTATATTTCCATGATAAATAAGCACATTGGATTTCATGAGTTTTCAGAGCTGACAATGCTACACTGACTCTATTTTCAGTTTGATTTTACATTAAAATTAGTTAATTATTTTTATGAATATACAATAAATTACATATTTTCTGATTATATTCCCAACAAAAAATGTTATAACACCGAATTGAGAAAATATATTGCAATCTTTAACTAGTTAAACAGTTTGATCTAAATGCAGTATTCAAGTCATTTTATCCTACAGCTATTGATTGCATTTTAACCCCCCCCCCCTTAACTAATCACTAAATCCATCCGATCAAATGCAATAATTACGTCAACAACTTTTATTTACTGTACGAAACCTGCACGCAATCGGGCAAAACGTTAAACAATTGTTTGAGAAGTAAATTATTTTAAATTACACAAGTATAATTTACACAGATAAGTACCACCCAGGAAAGAGCAAAGCTTTGTAAATGTTTTATACTTTTATATTCAGTCTTTTCATCCCTAAACGCGCAGGGGTGGGGGCAGGTGTTCCCTGGGGGGGGGGGGGTACAATGTCTTCCCTAATCCCGTCACAGGCAAGGAGTCTTGTTTTGTTTCCTGTGGCACAGTAGCGAATCACAACCCTCTGCAGTTTGCCCCCCATTAGTACAGGGATTACTGGCCTTTGATGTGAGGCCCTACATTTAATTAATAAAGAGCTGCACTAGCTTTGTCAGAGGAACGTTTCGAGTCATTACCGGCTCCGTACTCAGCGATAGTCGACTCAGCAAATCTGTGATCATCAAATGCTGATACTGTAATGACAAACGCAGTTGGGTTTATGTTTGTGTGACAAGTAGGTGGATGCTGCAATTAGAGACCTTATCAACCTTGCTTACCTTGTTAAGTAATAAGCTATTACCTGTATGTTTATATTTTCAATACAATAAAGAGTACAAAAATACCCCCGCCGCAGCAAACCTGCCGACTAAGCGAATTTCCATTTGTCTGAATTGATTTTCAATTAAATTTATTTAAATTAGGTTTAATGAGTACCTAGGTTTGCTGCCACCAGGAAACTAATAAAGTGTATCTTTAGTAAAATATTAATAGCTTAGTGTAAAATAAATAAATTTGCCAAGTTTGATCAAAATATATCCATAAACAAGCAAAATACAACAGTTTACAATATTCTCCATAAGAATAACATGTAAATTTTAAATTTACAATTTTTTTAATTTTCTTCGTTACCAATAATCGTATGAAAACACTTTGATATACCAAATTATTTGTATTTTTAAGCTCTTTAAAAGGGTTTAGAGAGAAATTGGGTAATTTTGTGTTTTGAGGGTCAAAAATGAGAAACCCCATTTTTTACCCCATAAAACCTCCCGTAAACCCCCGTTCCCATGGTCCGATCATGCTGGTTCGCGAACTCATTCAAGTTTATCCCGCCTTACACCTTTTTACACCAAATTTCATCAAAATCGGACAAAAATTGCTCAAGTTATCGCGTTTACGGACGTATATATACATATATAAAAATTTGAACGAATGGTGTTTTTGGCCTCTGGGGACATCAAGATGAAAAAGTAAATCGTTCCCAGGCCTTAGTCTTACCGTGCCACCTACGGCTGAAGTAAGCTACTTCGCTATAGGGAAATTCGCTAATAAATTAATGACATGGCTATAAAGTGTGTTCGAATAAGCATACATAGATTTGTAGGTTCCAGATTATTCTCAAATTAGTCTCAGATTATTCTCCGAATTTACAGTTACAATATCTAGTTAGGTAACATTTTCCAAAACTATTCATTTCGGTGGTACTTTGAACACTTTGGGATTTTCCAAACGTTGCGATCATGTAAAACGATTGTTGTACCCTAAAATAAAACTAAGTTTTTTACGAAAAACCTAATTAACCGAAAAGTGACTTACTAAACTAATTTACCACAAAAAGGCGGGAGTAAATATTTGAACTAATCAGGGGCTGTAAGATAAACCGATAGAAGCGCTTGTCCTGAAAACAAAATAATTGATGGGTGACCCTTAAGGGACGAACTGTTCATTTGAATACTCTAGGGGAGGTCCGACCCTGACTGGGGCGTGATTTGTGATGAGAATAATAGATTGTCTACTTCAGCCAATTTATTCTGCAAATATAATGTAAGGTGAAGGAGTTACGTCAAGTTTTAAAATACAATTTTGAGTGAATTGGTTATATTGATCAATTTAAACACAATCCTGTACAAAAATATATTTGTTGGATGTTTTTTAGTTGATTCTGGTCAAAGTATTTGATCAAGATCATTCTAGTGATTGTACAATAATTAATCAGTTGGTGCAAGTTCAATTACATATTTTCTTGGCGATTTTATTGAGTTGAAATCATACCTACCACAAATGTGTGAAGGTGTTGTCCTTTTATTGTTTTATACCCTTACTTATAGCGTCTCCAAATTATTATTGAATGGAATTTGGCTTCTAGATTTGAAATCGATCATGTGCAATCAAACCAGCTACCTTCATATTTGAAAGCGAACACTATGACTATTCCGGTACTTAGGCTTAGTTGTGTTGCTTTCCAGTTTATTGTTTCAAATTTACAAAAGTTTGCTTATTTATCGAAAACTAAGAATGCTTCTGTTGTACTATTTGCAAAGTTAAATTTTGGTTTTGGTTTTGAGTTAGAGAAATGTTAGAGATCAAATCACTCATAAAAGTAATAGTGATTATAAACTTCAAAATTTTCTCCATAAGATTTTTATTTTGCTCAACACTGATTTTGAACGATATTTTCATAATTGTGTGTTTCCAGGTGTGGTTCAAGAACAGACGAGCCAAGTGTAGACAACAAGCGCAGACGAACCCAGGCCCGGCCGTCAGCTCCAAGCCCACCTCCCGGGTACCCAAGAGGATATCCAAGTCTCCCAGCCACAGTGACTCGCCAGGGGACATCAAGCCGGAGCCGGACAGTCTCAAGATGTTGAGCTCCTTGAAGGCCTGCAGTTCTCCGGTGACGTTCCCCGCGCCAGGGCGAGCGGCCTCGGGCACCCCCGCGGGCGGGAGCAGCGCACCCTCCTCCGGAACCACCCCCAGTCCACCTCTGACACCCGGGTACTCCCAGGATGTCCCGCAATACTACTGGGGTTCCTCAGGGTCTAACTACTCCCAGAACTACTACTACGGCCATGAGTACTTCCCAGCGGGACCATCCCATCATCAGAACAACACCCACCCCGGCTTCCACCACTACTATCCTGCCAGCTCGGGCGGGTATGAGTCGACGGGACACTACCATCAACACTACCAACCTAGGTCGGACTGTAGTGCGGAGTATTTAGGGTAGACGAACATTATGGTCTAGGCCTGAGGGTGCACTGACAGAGTTTCGTTTTGGATATCAACTTAATGCGATTTTTCCATTCGAGTTCAAACATTGTAATCCTTCAATTTCACATAAATTGACTTATCTGATTTATTAATCTCAGATGAAATAATAGTGTTCTTAATTTTTAGTAAACTATGTGTTTAGCTTGTTTTATTTTATAGTAAAAAAGTTTTATTTTATACTTATAGTGAAAAGCAATGTTGTATTATATAATGGATATGTTTTGTTAAATTACGCTCAAATTTGTTTTATCCATCAGACTGTACGAGGTGGATTTTTATTTCTTTTACCTTCTAACTATAGTTTTATAGTTCCTCATTATTTATAAAAAGTTGTTATTTGAATTAATTAATAAATTTAAAAGAATTCCTAATTTATATATGGGACTATAACAATCAAATGTATGACTTCAAAATCTTTCGTCAGTGACCCTCAAATCACACAATAATTGTACATATTGTAATTTAAGACGGCCGACAGAAAAGTGGGATATAGTTAAGTTCGAAAATTATTTATAAATAGGCCTAATTTTAATTCTTATATTTTGTAAGATAGCGTGTAAACAATTGTTTTGATGTGATACTTCTATGAAGCGCTAGATGTAAGTTGCCAAATGTTATTTGCGATGTATTTTATAAATTCAGTTCTAATAGTTTATTTGCGGCAGGTTTTACCTCTAGGGTTTTATACGAACCTAATTGCTATTAATTCGAAGGTATCTCATTATTTTAACGGATTGTTGTTTTATAAATATTTATTTTGTACACTTAACTATTTTCGACGTAAATTAGAAGTTATGGACTAACAATAGCTTCCTTCACTTTTTAATAACCGAACAATGTAAATAAACCTTGATAATGTACTCTTTGTATTTATTTTGTTCCTCAAAATAATCCTCAACGTTAACCAATTGAATATTGATCAGAGTATATTTTTTTTAATCGTTTGAGATTAACGCAGCAAATGTGTACAACCAATTTTCTGACAAAAGGTCTTGATTTTTCTCAGGTGTTTGATAAAGTTGACATGATAACTAGATTTATTAGAGAGTGTTCAAAATTTTCCTTGTTAATAAACAAAGAAAGACCTTTCTGATGTTTCCAAATATAAGGTTTAGCGTTCTTATAATAGCAATTCTTATAATAGCGTTCTTGAAGAAAGTTTTCAGCAATCTCAAAATGCCTTAGTATGAACTCACTGCATGTGCCAAATAAATGTAGTTCTACATTACACAAGTTTCTACATACTATACGAATTGCAAGCTGGGAAGAGAATGCCTGGGCAGAGAGGTATGCAATGTGAGTACAGAGGTCATATTGCCTACCCATTGAGTCACGGCACTGCCAACCACTGACGTGTTGAACTATCTACCTGGGTATTGCATACCTTGTGTATGCCTCTCTTGTTCAATGTTAATTGCAAGCTGGGCAGTGAATGCCTGGACAGTAAGGTATGCAATGTGAGTACAGAGGTCATATTGCCTACCTAGTGAGTCACGGCACTGCCTACCACTGACGTGTTGAACTATCTACCTGGGTATAGCATACCTTGTGTATGCCTCTCTTGTTCAATGTTAATTACAAGCTGGGCAGAGAATGCCTGGACAGAGAGGTATGCAATGTGAGTACAGAGGTCATATTGCCTACCCATTGAGTCACGGCACTGCCAACCACTGACGTGTTGAACTATCTACCTGGGTATTGCATACCTTGTGTATGCCTCTCTTGTTCAATGTTAATTGCAAGCTGGGCAGTGAATGCCTGGACAGAGAGGTATGCAATGTGAGTACAGAGGTCATATTGCCTACCCAGTGAGTCACGGCACTGCCTACCACTGACGTGTTGAACTATCTACCTGGGTATAGCATACCTTGTGTATGCCTCTCTTGTTCAATGTTAATTACAAGCTGGGCAGAGAATGCCTGGACAGTTAGGTATGCAATGTGAGTACAGAGGTCATATTGCCTACCCAGTGAGTCACGGCACTGCCTACCACTGTGACGTGTTGAACTATCTACCTGGGTATTGCATACCTTGTGTATGCCTCTCTTGTTCAATGTTAATTTTACAAACACTTAAATATATTTAACTACTTTTCGGTCTCGATCTCCAATATAAATATTATTTTTTTAGTTGGAAAACATGTTATTCATGAATTAAAATTGAGATGTTCCACTTGTGTGGGGGTTTTCAGCCTTCTTTGTATAAGGTATATTTGAAAATTATTAAAATACACGAAATTGAAGACAAAAAGTGATTAAAATGTACTGTTATCGGTAATTAACTAAAATTCAAAATGCCAAACTGTGATGGTTGATTCGAGTACATTTTATTTTATATATCCAATGAGTAATTCTAGATGAGGAGCGAACCGTTTTAACGTGAGAATTCGGTTCTTAGGATCCTGGGTCGAAATATTGACAATCACAAATGGATTTATCTAGTTCTAGCTTGAAGTACTGTACTAAATGGTTCTGTCTGGACTAGAATGTTGAGTTCTAGGGTTTGAATGGAAGACTAAATAATCAAAATTACTCATCAAACGCATGTTTTTTTTTCGAGCTAGTGGCCTTCATAATACATTGTTTTGAAATAAAAATTGCTTGTAACTTTGAACTGCTCATTTTAGTAGTTTGTTAGGAATTTCCATAACTTTTGTGGGTTATTGTCTTACATCAACATTAATTGATAAACTTTTAGTAAGCAAAACTAAGCTTTACCGAAATAAGCCTTGAGACAACAACTCAAACACTGATCTTGTAGAAGCATACATGGCATAAGATTAATGACCGTGGCTGAATCGTGTATAGAAAATGCAGTCTGTTTGATTTTGGTGGTATGAGCAGTGATTCTCCATGCACTTCCTCCAATAGGGTATAAGACATGTTTACAACATGTGGGATGAGATTGGTTTTACAATATGTTTATACGAAGTACACTTCGATGAGTGGTGCCCGAGAGATATTTTGGTCGAGTATTAATTGCGCTAAAGAGTTCCATAATTGCACCAATCCTTCAAAGGGTCAAAAAATGTTCCTTAGACCCAAGCCCAAGCGATGAGGTGAGTCGCCAGCAGAAGAAATGCCCTTGTTCACGTGTCATCCTAACCTATCCTAACCTAATTTACCATAACCTAACCTAATCAATTATACAGTCAAAGACTGCCGTCACTTGGCTGATCAGGTATGTGGGACGTATAAGGTGGCTCCCTAGAGTAGTTGGCGCAATTCAGGAATACCTGACTCAGGTCAGTTGGTGCAATTAATGCCCGCCCGATATTTTGACAAAGTGTGGGATGTAAGTGGAAACTTTCATAACAAGGGATAGGACAGACCAAAGCTGAATAAAAACAGCACTACAACATAATATTGTCTTGCTGAACGCCATATATGGGATGTTCAATATTTAACGATATGTATACTATTGTCAAGCTTGCTTTCAGTTCTTACAAATGAAAAATAAAGTTATAGAGAACCCTTACAGTCTTTAAAATAAATTCTATGCCGCTCCTATGGTTAAGAGTCACTAATATAGTTTAAATGTGATTAATGCTGTTTATAAACATTACATATTATGTTAACGATACTTTTATTGAGTTCATAACATTAGTAGGACCAGTCTGGGTCTGGTAGACACCCAAAACCAGTTATTTGACATAGCACGCATAATTATAGGTAAAGAGTTGCTTTATTCTCACGCGATAGGAATAGGATTGAAGAGTTTAAATTATTAAGTTCAAACGTTCGAGCCTATTAAATCGATTGCAGTAAAAAAGAAAAGTTTTAATACGGAGTATTGATAATTAGGTATGGTTGGCTGCTCACACACTCATTCAAAAAGGTACGCGTAGATTTTTACAGGAATTTTGTCTACAGGTCATCATGGGCAACAGGGCAAGAGTTCATACATATAATTTGGACACAATGAAAGAAATTCAGTTTTACCGAAACTATTAATATGAATAATACGGCAACAGCCCTCAGAAGGAATATACAAATTTTCCACGGTGTAAAGTTTTTTTACCTATAAGTAAATTCAATTAAAGGACATGTATGCACTAAATCATGTGTTAAAATATCTTTTCCTACAGTTACCTGACAAAGTAGTCTTTCTTGAACTGATTATAGCACGCAAATCAGCTAATTGCTGCATTAACTTACTTTTACCGCACTCATTTTACTTTTGCCACACTCATTTTCCCTCACTCCAGCACACCAACCAAACAGAAAAAAAAACAAAAAAAAAACAGCATGCTTTTATTAGGCACGTTTTATCACAGAAAACGTACTACTGTAGTACGTTTTCTGTGGTTTTATATGTGTACACTTAAAAATAAGTTGGCAACAAAGATACTACGACTACGATCAGCTGTTGCAGTGTTTCCCATTTAGTTCAACGCTTGGATTTAACCTAACCTAAAACGTGTTGTTTAGTGTTTGAAAGACTAATTATTTCTATGCTTTATAATAAATGTAGGAAAAATATAATGTGTAACACGAGTGCAAATAATTGCCTTTGCTGCACTCGAGAAACATTCTACTCTTGCATTCGAGTAAACATTTATCTCATATGCAGCAAAGTTACACAAATAACTATTGTCTAATCTTACCTACCTGTTTCCTCAATGGTATTGTTTACCTTATTTTCCAAACTTCTTTAGCCACATCACAGATTGAATAGATTAAAGAAGTCTTTCCTCAATGGCTGAGGAATCATCAAGGATGTGTTCTGGTCGTATAAACAAAAACAGTTAGTAAGCAGTTGCTTAATCCAAAAACATATGAATGAAATATCTTTATCTTTTAATGATCTTCGTTCTATTCACGGAAGTTGTTACATAATCACAGTCAGCTGAATGTGAGCTGTCGATTTGTGTTTGTTCTACTTTTTACTAGAACGTTTTAGTTCAATTGTGTATTTGATCTTGTAAAACACTCAGTATTATAATAAGTGGAATATAAACTATGGTAGTAAATGTATCAATGATCAATTGGTAAATACAAATTGAACTAGTCAATGTATTCAAATTATTATAATTGTTATGCTTAGAGACACGATGAAAA